AAGAATGTGATGGTATCAATGTAGTTTTGAATGGATGTGAGTTTTGTAAGTTATCTTGTCCCTCTTTATGCAAAACATGTAAACTTGGGAAATGTCTTGAATGTCAATAATCATATTTGTTAATTGATAATTCTTGCTTATTAACTTGTGAATATAATTAAGATTAGTATGTATAAAAAAAACGAGGATGTTATTACCAAGTAGAAAATTTTATTGATATTGGATTTTAATGTGAATTAAACCAATCAATTATACTATAATATGCTTAATTAAATTCTAATATTGTCATATTTACTCTAGATTGTCTAGTTCATAATTATTAAATATTTGGCTTTAAATATTAAATTTGTAGCGTTTTTAGAGCAAATAATTGTAAAATTTAATATTAAGAATATTGTACAGAATGTATGGAGGGGTATCATTTAGAGAGAAATAAAAAGAATTGTTCTCCTTCATGTAACGATGGTATTATTGAAGAAACTGAAGAATGCGATGACAAAAATAATATTTAATTTGACAAGTGTTACAAATGCTAATAGAGTTGTTAATTGGAATGTCAAATTTGTATTAAATAAAAGTGTTTGGCATGCTTAGAAGGCTGGTAACTTTTAGATGATATTTGTGTCCCTAAATGTGGAGATGGAATTATTGCACTTGGGTCTCAAGAATAATGTGATGATGGTAATTAAATTGACAAAGATGGCTGTGATAAGTGCATTTGGTAATGTTCTCCTTATTGTAAATAATGCATCAATTAAAATTTATGTGATAAATGCATTGATATCGTAATTCCAGGCTTAGAAGAATGTGATGATGGAAATGAAGTTCCTTTTGATGGTTGTTTTGAATGTTAATTTGAATGTTAAATTAGTTGTGTGAAATGTGAATTTGGAATTTGCTAACAATAATGCAAACAAGACCAAATAATTGTTAATGGTTCGTGTAAAAATGAATCAGATGATTCATCATAAATGGATGAAATGGAATAGGATGAAAATAATATCAACAATTAGTTTTCAATATAAGAATGTGGTGATGGGAGAAAATCTTAAAAAGAAGAATGTGATGACAGTAATAATCTTAATAATGATGGGTGCTCAAACATATGTCAAATAGAAGTAAATTGGAACTGTAAATGTTTATAGCAAATTTTTTCCTATTACTAACTTGAAGATTTCGTTTTTGAATTAAAGTTTTGAATATCAATATGTTTAAATTTCATACGATAAATAAGTCAAAACGCAAGGACTCCCTAAAGATTTTATTTCAACTATTAAGTCTGAAATATATCTTTTGAAACAAAAAGAATATAAAATCAAAATCTATCCTGTAAACTAAATTTAAGATGAAAAAGTGTGGAAATAATTATCTATAATTCACTTTTTGATTAACCTAAATTAACAATAGTTATTTAATAAGTATTGATTGATGAAAATTAATTTTTTGTATATCCTAATCCCTAATCTGTTTTACTTAAGCATCCAAAATATATGAATAATAATTTAAGAGCTTAATCGCAAAAGTTAAAGCATTTTGGTCAAATTATGATGATAAGTTTATGTGGTAGTGGTTTTTTAATGTTAATCCTAGGATATTGGATGACATTTCTATAAATATTGGAGATCCTTTAATACCAATCTACTTTAAGATATATAAATCTCGATTTTCCATAAAATGTGGAGAACTATTTTGAATCCTCTGACTTTGTATCATTATAACCTATTTTGATACACTTATAAATATCAAATTAGCTTGATGAAATATTAGGACAAGAATATATCAGTAGTTTTGGAAGATTTTTATATTATAAAACTAATGCTGATTTGTTAACCAATATCTAAGGAGAACTTGTTTAACTTCTTGCAATTATTATTCTGTTTCTAATACATTATTT